CCCTCCACTTAAAATCATGGCTCTGTGCGAGAGAGGTAGATAAAAACAAAACAAGCCGGCATGTGGAAGTAAATTAAGAAGATCCCGATTGTCGATTTATGATAAATGTTTACTTTTTGCGATCTTTTTTTCAGTACTGTTTGAGACTTTTTCATTACATATTTTCACTCATGATCGTTTTGATTTTGTTGGTATAATGGCACAAAACGTGATAACGATGACGAGGTAGAGCAAAACAAAGTTCTTTTTTTTTTAATTTCACGCAAGTATTGTGGTATATTCTAATGGTGGGCGTATGGCTAATAATTTTCATATGACTGTTTGACCCACCTGCTTACAACACGTCCGTTGGAATTTGGAACATCTCAAATAAATCAAACGAAGACATCTGAATATCATAATAGGGATGTTGAGGGGCACTGGGGCTGCCGACCGGTTACGATATTCAACGGTAAACTGTGCACGTGCAAAGTTTGACATCACAGTCGCACTTGCCTAAAAGAAATTAAAACATACACAAGATAAAAACTATGATGAAACTAGGACATGTAATGCTAGATCTCAGATGGGTCACGTGATTTGTGTAAAATAGCAGTGACGCTATCATGACGTAGAACATTCATTTTAACTATTTTCAAGTAGTCAGTATGATTTATTTCACGAGAAACTAAGTCGACCAGCTTGCAAAAACGAGTAATAATTTTTAGCGCAACATGGCCACAGATGGCGCTTCGAGCATTGACAACACCAATGACTTACTTCGATGCGGTTGTACGTGTCGCTCATCTTGGCTATTAGCGTATTCAAAAGAACGATGACAGCAAATAAGTTATATGCACCCAGTAAGATTTTGCCAATGTATTCAATTGCGCGGGAATCCACGTCGAAGTCCTCGATCTTCGATAATCCAAACAGACCCCAGAAAAGACTGACGGTATACACTGATAACCTAAAAATGCAGAAATGATAAAATCAATTTTGCAATATAAAAAAAAAATACCCCTCTACCCCTACACCTCTATTCTCCTCGCGTGACAGTGTGTGAATAAAAACACGTCATCATGTTTACCATTATAATAACACGCTAAATCACGGGAACTTCAAGTTGCATAGTGTTAAAGGGCGGTGGT